TTTGGCGATAGAGACCTAGTACGGAACTAGATATTTGATTCACTAGTCCGCGGTTTCCCTGCAGGGAGCACACGCTCATAGAGCGTAATCATCGTGTGTACGTATACAAGCAAGAGCGTAACGATGAGAACGTGACAGCATGCACAATGAATTAGGCACACTAACACATTCTGACTTTTAGCTTGTGGTAGTGCCCACCTCTGCATATAACTCACTGAAAGATACATACATACTTATGTATATACATGTTTGCACATATGTAAGTAATTGTATGTATAGCGTCGGCCGCTGTGGTGTAGTGGTAAGCAGTGCGCGCTTCCACTCCGCAGCACCTGGGTTCAAGCCCTGGGCAAAGCAACATCGCAAAAAATATAGAAAAAAGGTTTTTTCTTAACCGCAGAACTCCACAGGCAAACATCGATGGCCTACCAACTGTCATTTTGACGAGCAATGTGATTACAAGTTTTTGTGTGTGGGCACTTTGATGTCTTGAAATAAGCATTTGCCGCATGACGCCACCAGACAACATTCTCTCAATTTCGGTGTTTAAAAACATTTAAATCTTTAAAAAACTTGCTGAATAATTTCCTAAAACGTAATCATAAATAATTCAATAAGGAACAGACTTTTATTTTGATTTAATATAAAAATTTCATCGATGTTACCACCAGCACGCTTTCTTTCAAATGAAAATATGGCTGTCAAACTATCGAATTGCCTGCAATAGATGTCAAGCAATAAGCGCTGACATATATTGCAGCACATGAGAAATAGGCGGTCTCCATTGGAAATATATTTTGTGACATAGTTTTCACGACATCAGTGTTTTCCTGTGGAGACAGGGCCTAACAGCGGTCGTCCCTCGGCAGGCAATGGCAGACCTCCGAGTGTATTTCTGCCATGAAAAACAGCTTCTCATAAAAATACAATCGCCGTTCGGAGTCGGCGTAAAACTGTAGGTCCCTCCGCTTTGTGTGACAATATCAAGGCGCACGCCACAAGTGGGAGGAGAAGCTCGGCCAAACACATATGTGTAAGCGCCAATCTATTATTATTATTATGTATAGTACATAAGTACATAAATTTGTTAGCAACAGAAAATTGTTGCGCATGCGAAATGCCGTCGGCAAATGTAAATGAAACAAGTAAGAGCAGCGCTGTCTTCGGCTATGCCGAAGGCTTCATACCTTTCATGAACATCTGCAAATTTTACTTTGACAGATTACTGCTTTTGAATACATCTGCATACATCGATAGAGGAGTTACATACTTATATATGGAAGATATAACGGGTGATTTTTTTGAGGTTAGGATTTTCATGCATTAGTATTTGACAGATCACGTGGGATTTCAGACATGGTGTCAAAGAGAAAGATGCTCAGTATGCTTTGACATTTCATCATGAATAG